GATTTGATCATTTGGATGGTGAGAAAAGGAGAGTAATTCTGCAGATTTTCAGAGATAGTGAATTAACTGGAAAGGCGGCGACAGCCCATCCTCATTACCACCCTTTGTAAAAGTATCATCTGGCTGCCACTGTAAATAAGAGTAGTGGTGACTCTCATTTCAGCTAGCCAATAGACCCATGTTTCCCATAATGCCTCACTTTGAATGATTCTACCTCAGAACATTGAGACCTTTCTATGGGGAAAGTGGTGTGCCATATACACAAAATGAGAGGCTTTAAATAAAACATCATGACCATTAAGTTAAAACATAATCTAGCTTGTGGCAAAACCAAATGATATCAAAATGGATGCAGGATGCGACAGCATGCAAATGCTGCTACCTTTTGCTCTTATAAGTCTCCATCCTTGAAAACATGTAAAATTTATCACCAAAGAGAGATTTTTGCTACATTTTTGTGGCCTGAAAATGGGTCCATCAGTGTGAAATAGCTTTTGCATTCAGTGTTGGTTAAAAATAACCATTAAAAGCCTTTTTGTGACTCTTGCTCTTTCATGTTTAATTATTTAGAAATGCATAAATATTATTCTTCCGTACAGTTTCTAAAGCCGTTAAAAAACTAGGCAAAACACATATATAAAATATGCTTACATACTTTATTGTAACTGGTCAGGTTGTACACAAGAGCATAGACTAGATCAGTATTAAAAATAATATTTGAACTCTAATGTAAATGCATATAAACAAACATAAAATTCATAAAATAATACAATAATAGTCATAAAATAATAAAATAATAATGTTATTTTATTATTCTATTACAGTATTTTATACGTAAAATATAATAAATAACAATAAAATTTAAAAAGAGGGGGGACCCTTTTATTATATGGGACACCATCATGCTTGGATTTCCAAGCAGTGGCTAGCATTACTTTAAGAAGCTCTTTCTCAATGGACAGCAGAAATAGCTCAATTGTTTTAAGGTCAAATTTGCTGACTTCAGCTAGCTAAGGAGTCCAATCTCTTGCTAATCTTAGCATAATAGTAAAGATGGTTTGGGAAAGGTATGTCTACTTGGTAATCCCCAACGTTGTGATAATCTTTGGCATCTTCAACAGAGACTTTAGGAGGGCATGCAAGCAAAGTGCTGCTATCTGACCAGACCTCATTGTAAAGAGCCCACTAGTGCTGTCAAATGAAATTATACACTCATGGCTGTCATAGTCTGTGCAATTCTGCTACAATTTCTGAAATTACTGCGCATTAGATTTGCCTCTGTCACATTGTAACCAGACATATTGCACACCACAAACTATTGAATCAGTTCTTTAATTATCACACAAAAAAGAAAAGAAATACAACTAAATGTTAAAATTAATGTGACTTTGATAAAAGTACTTCTGCTTTAACTAATCTATCTATCTACTAAAAATTCCCTGAAAGTACATATGGCACACATTAGCATCATACTGGCCATGGGAAAATCTATTTGGAGTAAGAGAAATGCTTGTTTCACCTGACAAATATATTCTGCATTGTGAATATTTTATGTCTTCACTGTTTCCTGAAGTATTTTCTTCATCACATTGTCTTCGTGCAATTTTGATACAACATGAGAGTTGAAAATCACATCCCTGGTAAGTATCTACCACTGAATTACCAGCCAGATAATACGAATAGTTTCAGAGATGTGGGATGTAGCCTAGGTCATAGATATGCCAGGTTCGGAAAGAATGTGTTGCTTTCTTCCCATCCCAGAGGTTTGTCCATTGTTTGTATTCTAACTGGTACTCTTTCCCCAATGCTTCCATTTCTTCTTTGCATCAGGTTTTGCTATAACATTTTCATTAATTTTAAAATTATCTATAAAACTCAAGGATATCATACATACTATATGTTGAAATATGTAGCAACCCATAACAATGCATGGACTAATTACAATCACAGTTGGTCACATGATCCCCTTTAGAAGAGAAAACCTCTTTAGGAAAACTTATTTATTCGCTTTTTCTCAAGCAACCAATCAACAGGTCTATTTCCTCCCCACCACTAGGTGCTTAACCTTCTTCAATCTAAGGCATTTGTTTTTCTGTTGATTCTTGTTGCTTGCCCTTCATCTTGTGTGGGTGATGTTACGTTGAGCTCTCTCAATGTTATGTTGAGCCATGAGTTTGAGAAAGAAAGAAAAATCTATTTTCTACCATTTTAACAGACTAAATTATTAACCTTTTTCACCCCAGCAATCCCATGTCTTCATGTTAAAATTTTGATCACATAATTTTGTAACTAAATATTGTTTCTTTGAGTGATTATTTTTGCTGGTCTGCTTAGATAAGGGAATCCTTGGGAAACTTGCTTATAATTAATTCTAAGCCCCCCCCTCTCTCTGTGTATGTGTATGTATGTATATAGGCTTAGAATTATTGTTATATATAGGCTCTCTGTGGCTGAATGTATTCACATGCTAAACATCAGGCAAGCCTCTAATGGGAGGAAGGTTGTTAGAGTTTATTTTCTTTCTCTCTATTGAGCAATACTTTAACATCACCAGTTGTTTGTTTTCCTGTCTATACCATCTTGTTTTAGACACTTTATCATCCAGGGAAACTCCAAGTAGATGGGAAGTTAAATACATCATTTCCCTTAGCTATTGAATTAGGTCCTAATGATTAGAGGCTGCTTCTGTCCAAAAGCTGGCTATCTCGAAAGTTCAAGTACTGCTGACAGGACTGGTCTCATGATGAAGCTGCAATACTAAAATTAATACTGTACTGTCAACCTAAAGTGGGGACACATATACTCTCCATTTTATCTCTAAGAAAATAAATTGTTCATGTTTTGTTATTATGCACATAGTGAACGCTGGTGCTGCAGTGTCAGTCATGTAGTCAAAACAAGGCTACTAAGAAACAAGGTGGAGATAATTGCCTAAAGTGGAATCCCAAGGTTTGCAAAAGTAATGAAAAATTTGCAAGAGAGACAGAGAGAGAGAGAAATGCCATCCCAAACCACCCACTGAGAACTAAGTATGCTGAGTGGCCACAGAATGCTAGGTATCTGTTGGAATGTGGGAGAGGATTTTTTTTTTTTTTTAAAAAGGAGAGATGGAAAGGAGAATCCAAAAAGAAAGCAAGGCATAGGTGGCTGGAAAATTAAACAGGAGTCATAGGCATTCACAGGTAACAAAGAGTGGTCCTGCTGAACATAGAAACCCATTCATTTTAAATGAAAAGTCTCATCCAGACAATTCATAATGGCCCCGAGAAACATTGTAGTATGTATTAACAAGTTTTGATAGCTGATATTGTATTGTATATATGTGATTGTTATATACAATCGTATATACAATTCGATAGTAATATTGTATATATGAGTGTTAGCATGCAGATACATTCAATATCTGAGCAATGCTTTCTTTTTGTTGCCCTAGTACTAAATGACAGTTCTGAGATTTCATATTTGGCAATTGCCAAAATAAACCAAGAGATGACAAATATATAAAGAGTTTAGATAAAATTTCACCATACTCAGAATTTTAATTGGTGAAACTTATGCTGCAGGGGAAAATTGGTTACATTTGGGCTGTAAAGAGGTCAATAATCATGAAATTCATGCATGCACACACAAACATACTCTAAAGTAGGTAGAATACCAGAAAACAACAGTGAAGATGCAAACAGTGTTATCAGTATTTTATTGATTTGTTATAAAAATATAAAATCAGAAAAGATTGTCACTGCCTTGGCCTTTCACATTAGGGATTAATGACATGCCTACACTAGTGAAATTGGGGGTTGTAGTAGTAGTATATTGAATTGTGGCCTTATGAACTTCATCAGACTGAGAAACAAGTGAAAGGAAGTCTGGAAGTTGAGTCATGGCAACTGTCCTTGTCTCTTATTAGGTTGAAACATTTTGCTACTTCCAAGGGAAGAAGCTGCTTGGATGAGTAGCAAAACGTTTCGACCTAATAAAGCCAGTTGCCATGACTCAACTTCCAGAGAACCTCATCTGGATGACTGAGAATCTTCACAGGTAAGTGAAAGGAAGATGTAATGCCTCACACTTTTCCTCTCCTCTTTCGCTTTTTGCTTGACTGAATAAAATGCCATTAGGCTCATAGGCTGATTCTTCAGGGTCCCTGTTCTAAAACTGTACTGTTCCCTTACCCTACAGACCTCGGTTCATTCTCCCAGTGTTTATTACTAGATAAAAATATATCTTAGTAAGGAAATTTGTAATAAGACATGTGGGAGGACAGGGGCATAATTTTCATTTGCTTTTATTCAGGGAGAATTATTCTCTTGAATGAAAACAGTTGTTTGCATGTTGAAAATTGGGCTTGGTTCCAAAAGAGAAAAATATTTATTTTCAGTGGCAATTTGAGTTCCACCCAGCTCGAAGAAAAAGTGCATCCTGCTGCGAGGTGAAGTCATGGTTGCAGCGACAGGGCAAAACCCAAATATAAAACAGATTTGGGGCACACACACACACACACACACACACACACACACACACACACACAAAAACCTCATAAAATTTCCAATGCGTGCTTAAAACAACAACCGTCCGGGACTGGGAGAGTGGGTATCATTTAGCTTCCTTGCCTCGCCACAAATCGGGGGTCTTCTTCAGCTGTATAAATCCAAAGGTATGTCTTTCCTCAGTGCCTCCAACCGCAAAAAGACAAATATTTGCTGGGTTTTATGTCTCTCTCTCTCTCTCTCTGCGGCCTCCTACCCTCGCCCCCTCACGGGATGCCTGGTCTACGAGTCAGTCAAAGGCCAGCCCGCCATTCCCACTCCTCCATGTCCGTTTGGCGACGTGCCACGAGAAAATGCAGAACGGGCCCTGCAGCCCTTTGCAGGGCTTCGCGGGCCTGCAGCTGCTCTCCTCACACTTTGACCGCAATGTGAAGGAAGAAGCTCCTCTCCGACCCCTTCCCCGCCTCCGAAACCTCCCTTCGCCTCAGACGTCGTTTCCCGCCTTTTCTCCTTCTACGATGAGGAGGCTGGAACAGGAGGGAGGCCATGGATGCCGGCGAGAGCCTCTGCCGCCGCTTTGCCTCCAGAGCTGGTCGCTGGTTTTCGGTCGCCGGCTGCCAGAGCTGGTCGCTGGTTTTCGGTCGCCTGCTGCAAAGGTGAGAGAGAGAGAGAGAACGAGAGGGTTAGAGGAGCAAAGCGAAGCACGTTTGGCCGCCAGGAAAGTGAGAGATCCTAAACACGGCCAAAGCGAACTATGGTTCCAAGCCAGGTTTCATAATTAAAAGCAAGCAAAATCCCAGGCTTAGCTGAAGCCGAGTTGCAAGTGGTGGCCAAGCAGAGGGGGCGCCTCACCCTGAAAGCATGAAGGCAGGGCGCCCCTTCCTTTCGGCCTGCGAGTCACACACAAGAGGTAGTCAACCGGTGTCTGCTCCGGTTCTGCTGCTCCTCGTAGGAGTGTGTTTTACACACGACAAATTAAATGTCAGAAGAGTCTTAAGTTCGCCTCTTTTTTCTTTCCTGTTGTCTTTCTCGTGGAGATAGGTTTTCTCCGTCCTCATTGGTTTCTCTTTTTTTCATCATTATTATAACACGGCCTGTTCACAGTGGTATTGCCCAGTCGCAGGTTTAGTGCCTCACTAAGAAAGCCTTGAATTCTATTAAAGGGAGGACGGAATTGTTCCCTCCACTGACTTGAATGGGATTTAATTACATTTACAACCATTTTAAAGCTTATGGGAGCTAGAAGTGGTGATTGTAGAATAGGCTTTATGGCGCACTCGTCCCTGCCTTGTTCGCGACGTTTTTGAGGAGGTCGGAAAAAATTAGCACATTTTTGCACCACTTTTTGCTTTCTTTTTTCCCCCTCCCAACATAATATCTATTAACGAAAGAAAAAAAATGAAATAAGTGCAACTTGTCTTAACTGGCAGTGCAGGGAATTAATAGTTGTACGAAACCTGTGTACAAGTATTTTGTGTCAATTTAAATTATACATGACAAAGTGTTTACATAGCAATTTAAAATGCAGTGTTTAAATGCAACACAACAAGAATGCATGCTTATAAATTATATAGAAATGTTAGTAATAAGACACATTTAGCTGTTGCACTGTGGTAAATGTGCTGTTGCTATATGCTATCAAGTTGCCTCCACCTTATGGCGACCTTGTGAATGAGCAATCTTCAAAATGTCCTGTCCTCAACTGCCCTGACCAGCTCTTGTAAATTCAAGCCTATGGTTCCTTTAGGAAGCCAATCCTTCTCATATTTCGTCTTCCTCTTTTCCTGCTGTCTTCAACCATTCCTAGCATTATTGTCTTTTTCAAGAGAATCTTGCCTTCTCATGATGTGTCCAAAGTAGGACAGCCTCAGTTTCAACATTGTTTGCTTCCAGTGATAGTCCAGGTTTGATTTGATCTAGGCTTGATCTGAATCTAGTTTGGCTTTCTGTATATACAGTAATATGTTTTGCATACAAAGTAAATGTATTCCAGAAAGGAATCTTGCTAATTTCTGCAAACAGGCCACTCTTGCTGTGGAGGGTCAGCCTGTTGAGAAGTCTCCAATCTCCGTAAGAAACTGGGCCAAGACCTTCCCTGCCTGTTTCCTTCATTTTGTGCAAAATGCAGCAGTGCAAAATTTGTGTCATATCTGTAGGTACACATGCACATAGCAATCACAGAGGGGCTAACAAATAAAAAAAACACAAACAGCCACTCAGTACTACTATATTTACTAATTCATAGAAGACAACATCCTTAACCCAAGTTCTGATAAGGCAGGTACAAAATGGTCTCACAAAGGGATCATTTTTCTTTCTGACACTGAAAAGAAAAATCTTACTGTACAGAGAGGAGAAAAATTCTTAAATGATTTTTCATCCCCAATACCAGTGATAAGTGAAGGTTTACTGTTGCATAATCTGTAAAGCTGTTGTGTAAAACTTCATGTATACTGTACTATATCAAGTTTGAGCCATACTTAGGCACTTGGATCTGGGCTGGTGGAAGTGAACATTCCTGTCTCTCAGCAGCTTCTTTAGTCCCTTGAAAATGTTGCACAATGGATTGGAGGATCTGGCTGAAGAGGGTGAACCTGATGTGGAAAAAGGAAGCAAATGCCCCCCACCATTGAGTGTAGACCTTCAGGGAACTGAACTCTTCCATCCACAGAAGGCGCAAACATCCTTCTTCTGCCCACCTTGTTTAATATTGCCCACTAGGAATTCCCAGAAGAGAAACAAATAAATATTTGGAGCTACAGGTGTAGGTTACAAAACTTTATGTTATGTAAATTTTGTGTAGATGTCACAAAATTGTGTACAAGATTTTGAGTTTTCACAAACTTCACCAGAAAAGTAAGGGGGGGGCAGCAAAATGTTGGCTAATGCTAGTTGTTTCCAGAAGTATAGATACTAGTGCTACCAGTCAAATACCCTATCCAGCTATTGTATCTTTTGAGTCCTAAATTATTATTAATTTTTTGTAAGAAGAATACGGACATGGTGGTAAGGCATGAAAGAGCTAAGGTAATCAATAATACATGTTTCCTCTTCCCCAGTAATATTCTACTAGTGAGACAAAGTGATTGGACTAAAAGCTTTATCTGAAAACATTCAGCCAGGTATGGTGCTTGAACAACTCAGGGATCAAAGAAGGGGCACCTCCATGTACCATTTCAGGGCTAACCCATCGATTTGGTCAGTCCACATTCTGCCAGGGCCATGGAGTGTGCATTTAGTGACAGTCTTGAGACTGAATGTGGGAAAAGGTTGCTGTTGCTCCTTGATAGATGCAGTGCAACAAGTCCAATTTGCTGCTGTCTCAAACAGTTTCCAACTTCATGGTTTTGTCTGCTTAATTAGACTCTTCTTCGGGCACAGTTGTTTATTTATTTGAATAATTTGTTATTTGCATATACCATGGTGAGTGCATGGGAGAGAAAAATGATAAAACATTATTACCCAGATAACTGTGATCCCAGTTCTTTCCTAGACGGGACTCAGGTTAAAACTTTGATACCAAAGAAGAACAGTAACTCCTACATACTGAACTCAACCCTGGATTTTGACCCAAGGAAGAGCTGATATTTCCTCCCACACTCCACCCTACAACTGTTTTGAAGGGTAGACTCCACAGCTTTAATATCATTCTGTGCCCCCTTTCCATTTTGTTTCCTATCTACCTTGATAACAGTTCTGGAGATCTCTATTCTAGAGGACTCAGCAGTTTGCAAATGTTGTATAACTTTCTGATTAGCCTTAAAATGTATTGGTCTAATATATACAGTGTATTATGATCAACCTTATTTTGTGCCACCACCTCTACCTTTTTCTTACAAAATAATAATTCAGGAACAACTGGTTCCTCAGGAAGAACCTCACTAGAAGAGTTTCTGAAACAGTGCAGATGTGGTCCTTTGGAAACTTCAGTGCAAGAACAATGGACTTCAAAGGATACTAGATGTTGGTGCAGTTGACAAACAGATCTACTGCATTGGCAACAGACTACAAAAAGAAGCAGACTCCTGTATGAAAACAGCAATTTAGCATTTAAGAATGGTTTACTGTTAGCAAAATTAAGAAGCACACACAAAACCTATCAATTTCAATTTCTCCCACATCATTTTTTGAAAATTATTTTACAGGTTCTTTTTATTTCAAGTATGCAATTTGCAAACTTTTTTGAGGGAAAATTCAGTAACTAACTGAAGCAATTTGTTTACCCATCCCAAATTCCCAATATGATTATCTTCCCATGTACCAATATTTCAAATAAGAATTTAAAGATGAGAAACCTCTGAGAAAAAGAAGTGGCAACCCAAAATCAGCAATAACATAGTTGCCTTCCCAAAAATTCAAACCCAGACCTTTAAGAATTAAGCATCTAAAATTCTGGATCTGGTTATAGTTAGTCTGTAGCCCATTCTGACTGAAGAAATCTGCAAATTTAAATCAAATGGTCCAAAAGTAAAATTTCCTTCATTTCTACCCAGCAAAAAATACTCATACTCAGAATAATGAATTGTACTTAACATTTCCTGTAGCTTCATTCACATATATCTAAACAGATTTACATGGGTGTAAGATCCATTCATTTTAGTAACTAGTTTACTTCCAGATTACAGTATTGTTATTAATTCATCATTATTACAGCCTCCTATTCATTTCACTGACATTCCTAAAACTGTTATGCCTACAAGTTAGGTGGAAACACTCCCTTCACAAGCCACTTAGTTAATACCTACGTCTGAGCCAATTCAGGGTACCTGCTGGTGGGAGCCAAAGCAAAAGCAATTTGGCAACTATTGGTTTAGAAATTGTGGATGAAAGCCTGATATGGACTCTAGCTTGAAACTAATCAAAATTTTTCTAACCATAGGCGTTATAAAAAAAACCCAAAAAACTGTTTTGCCAGGGAGATTACTGTAAACATGTTCGGCTTTGCCACTGGTTATTACAAGTATGTCACATTCAAATTCTAATATCTCATTCAAATGGTCCAAAAGAGTTTTTTACCTGTATTTTCTTTCATGTTGAATCAGAATGTGCAACTTGGGGCAGCTGTAACTTTGGTAATGATAGAACAACAGCAAGCATGTTTACATTGTCCTTGATGAAATGTATTCTATACTAGGCAACTGCTGTTTTTCTGTCTGTCAGCTTAGTCAAGGGTGATGTTATTCCCTAATTTCCACAGAGTAGAAGAAGGGTCCTGAATCATAAACAATCGGGCTTACCTTTTCCACCCCCATTTTGTTTTGCTTTTTCAGTTACTGGCTCAGGTAAGATTTTAACTCAGAAGTATTGATTTCCTAGCAAATCTACCCATTATCATGACCAGTGAGGGGACACAGCCTCGAAGCTGGACAAGATAGGTAAAACTTTTGACTTACATACTGAATAGCTCTCATGTGCTCCGTTTAAAATGAAGTTTGCGACTCACCCATGCCATAGGAAATTTTGCAGCCTAAGGGCAAAGGGGGGTGTTTGTGTGCCTATTCTTTCCCCGCCCTCTCTATACAAAAACTGATTGGATTGACAATTTGGACACTGGCGATGGCACAGAAGGTAGCAGGCCAATTTAAGAAATGAAGAGTAGACCAAGTAGTCCACGTAGCTCTGTTCTGCAACACTTCACCACCACACACCCATCTCCCACATCATCAGTTGTCATATTGTGCCTAATGTTAAAGTCCAACATATAGCGGGAGTTAGTTTTGCTGTAAATATTTGTGAAGCCTCATACACTCAAAAAGGCAAGACACTTTGAAAGGAAATAACTAGCCCAGGAGCAAAACCATGCAAGGATTATGCGGCCTTAAAATAATAATCCAGAGTACTACGAGGAGATGGTTGCATCTTTAATTAGATTGTTGTTGCAGCTAGTTACATTTTAAAGTAGTAAACAAATATTCCTCCACCACATCTACTCCAAAACAAGTTAGCTACCCTGTGAAAAAGATGGTTGGGGCTATCAAGAGCTCTCCTGTTCCTCCTTATCATTCCCAATAAAACGCTATAGTTTTAGACCCACTGATTTCTGTCGCAACCTACTTACAAACTGTTTATGATCCCAAATTGATACTAAAGGTTAAGAGGACTAAAGAAGGGCTGGAATACGTTTTGCTTTGAATAGATTCTTCTCACGTTTAGACTTTGACTGGCAGAAATAAAAAGAGAAATAGGGGGAGCTAACTGTATTTTATTGAAAATGAATCCACCTCTTTGGTTTATAAAACTGGGTGGAACAGAAAATAAAAATAGAAAATAAAAACCTCCAAACAAATCTGACTGTTTGAATGCCATACTACTAATTTTAAGTGAATGAACAATAGCAACAACGATGAAACACTATGGATTGATTTCAGGTGGAAAGATGAAGATATTTATTTAAATAATTAAAACAAATGATATTTATCCCACTGACATAAACATAATTAAATTATTAAAGAAATCATCTGAACTGGAGGTGTACATTTCTGTGGATCACTCTTCAGTGTATTTACGCCCTGATGAGTACATTGACAACTGGTTGTAATGGTGTTCTATCCAAATCAACATGTGAACTGGCCCTCTAACTAAAAATTTCAGTGTAGGGGAAAAAAAGAATATTTACTGGTAATTTTTTTATCAAAAAAACCTTTATTGTTCAATCTTAATCATGTCTACTTGAAAAGTCTCCCACTGGGACTTACTTTCCTAGCAAATAGACAAAGGGACTTATTCCTGACAAAAGTTGAGAAGGGAGGCTTGTAAAGGAATAAAAGCGAAGTTCAGCAGGAACTGTAAAATAGACCCACTGTAACAGCAGACTTGAAAATCAAGCCATATAATGTATTTTTTATAATTAATTCATGTTTAAAGAAGCCCACACTCCTTTAGAGTTTATTTGAGAGAGAGAAATAACTAGGCTGACTAAAATAAGGTAATGTTTCTTATTACTCCAGAACACTGACATGCCCTCCATCGTAATTTATGATTAAGTGATTCGGTGAAAAACGATTATCCATGGCACTGAAATTATTTCTCTCATATCAAATTAATCTCTGTCACTTTCCACTCCTCATGCGCCCCTCTGTGTACGTGCCTCTGTGTGCAGAAGGACAGTATATTCCTACCCAATTTGTTTTCTGTTCCATGGGCTGCAAGAAAAAAAAATCCAAATGCTATTTTCACCCTTCGTTTTAATACCAGTCCTAAGCTTTTCCCAGAAGCCCTATTTTGATTAGGAAAGCACTGACTTTTTTTTTTCCTCCAGAATGTAAAGATAGTTCAGATTCTCCTTTACTTTCTGTTTGGTTGGTTTTGCAAAATGTTCAAATTATAATACAAAAAAAGTAACTTCGAAAGCCTGCTATTGCTTTTCATGCGGGGGGGGAGGAGTTAATTTTGTCCTATTTTCATTCGTACTTTAATATACCGTGTCCATCAAACACAGCAAGTGGGAAAGTACGGCCGCTTTGTTTCTTAAGTAAATACCATGATCCACCCATTCTGTTTACAAACTTGGACTAACGCACTTCTTCGGGAGTAAATCCTACAGAAATTAGTGAGATTTAGCTTACACTCACGGCTCGCTCCACTCAAGTCCCATTTATCGGAAAGGAGGCGATGAGTGAGGGAACGAGAATGGCAAGTGCTCGGCTCTGATTATCCTCTTAGTAACGTGAATGCGGCGCTACAAAATATTAGGAAAGAAAAAAAAACAGGGGATCCCAGCGCAACCCTTTCCTGAGTTATGTTTCTTTCCTGAAACAATTATCACCTGATTTCTTATGCTAACGTTTGAAGACTGTTGTGAGTCTGGGGACACGGATCCACATGCGCGGGGACACGCCGTTTCGGTGTCGTCAATCATTGTCAATTATTTCGCCAGGCTAAATGACGCCCACTTCGATCTAATACACCAGAAGGGACCACACACAGTGTGAGACAGCGCACCAATGGATTTTAAGGAAAATAAAAGGTATAGCTATAGAAAAGGCGGAGGGGTAGCTCTGTGCCGGCATGGGAAGGAGAGGAGGGGGGAGGAATGCAAAGGAAAAGAAAATATTTTGGCTACAGGGGTTTTTCTTTTCCCACCCGGAAAACACCACCGATGATTTAACTCCCACAGCTGCTTGAACAGTGACTACAGTTGGAAGCAGGCTTTGAACAGCGGCGAGTCTCTCTCTCTCTCTCTCTAGCGAGGACAACATTTAATGGACAGGAAGAATCGGAGGTTTTTCTTCGTCCCTCCATGTCACCCAGGTTTGAGTTTATTCCAGCGACGTTTCCTAGAGATGTCATAAAATGTGACTCGGACCTGAACTTTTCTCGGCCGTCCCTCTGCACTGAAGACTTAGCGTTTGGAAAGTAGTGAAGCTTTTCTTCCAAATAAATACTCTGGGGGCTGGGGGGGGGTTTCACATAAACTGAGTTCCGGGACAGCAGGAGTCTCACTACCCAGGAGTTTCTCTCGTCACCTCCATTGTGTCTCCCCACGGTTTTTGAGCCCCTGCTAGATAAACAGATCCTCCTGACACCAAGGCTTCGTGTTGTTTGAAAGGGTGGATCATATTTGGAAAAACCGAGTGGGAGGGAGGCTACCAAGTGCAAAAACCAGAAGAGGTACTGGTTCAGCCTCTTGTCCACTACCCTAAACTATTTTTGTTTGCATTATAGGTTTAAAAAATTCTGTGAGTTTTTCTTTCTGCCGGACTGTACCCTGGAGATATTTCTCCTAGAATGGAGATGCAGTGCCGCTGAATTTTACCTGGAACAAGATCCCTAATTTTAGTGCCATTTACTGTCACGATATGTGTTTGCAGAAGATTTGCACAATATCAGCCACGGCTGAATATTTCGTGCTTCCTTGGTTCCCCGCCCCCACCCACACCACTGTTTTTCCTCTCCCTCTTGTCCGAGCAGGCTCTGCCCATTAGGCTTTTCCTTACCTTCCCGCGAGGGATGCTTGAAGGCCACCGTGTGCGCCAGCTCTCCGCCGTGTAAAGCCACGCTGGGCCCATGGTGGTGACCCAAAGGGCTGCTTTGAGTCTGCCAGTGATGATGGGCCGGACTTAGGTAACTTCCGCCAGGGCCCCCGTAGACTCCGGACTGGTTTGAGGAGGGATAGGCGCAAGGGGACAGGAAAGTACTCACAGCCGAGAGTCCAGGAGGCGGCTGCGAACAGGGAAAAGAGAAGAAAAACATTAAACAACAGGGAAGGAGGAAAAGCCCTAATAAAAGAGCCCCTGGATGCGGCTGCGCTTAATCTGGTCTAGATGCTAAACTCATTAACGTGGAGATAAATGAAGGCCAGCGCCCTTGGCATAGGTACCTTGGGGCAAATCCCATTGCATTCAATAGGGTTTACTTTCAAATTGATATGATAGGCATCCTCTATAATCTGCGTTTTTATTAGATTCCTTTCTGTAGAGGATTGTGTGAAACTAAACAGGATACTTAGAACTGCCAGGAAGAGGAACTAGTAGGAAGTCACTGAGGACCCACAACTGGGGATGGGTGGAAGTGTCTCTTGCATTAAGCGTGACCGCTGTACACCCATGCTGATTTTTTTTCAGAAGTGCAGCAGGTCCTCCGAAATCAATACTGGACATTTAACTAACCACAGAGATAACTTTTTAAAATGGTTATAAAATTGCTGCTTAAAAAAACAGAAACAAAATTAAAGTTTCAAACAACAATCGGGAGCAAGATGGCCATGCTGTGAGCTAAAGAGGGAAAGGGGAAAATGTGCCCTAAACAAATTATCAATTCATCATCACTATCATGTAAAAAAAAATTAAATTACGTGAACCAAAGGAAGAGTTTGTGTAATTAATAATTTTTAAAAAGTAATCCTCTGCTTCCTTCTTGTTATTCCTCCATCGCCACATTGAGCTGCTGAATTTCTGTTCTATTCTCTTTGCGGATGTTAAAGAGTAGGTAGGTATACATCTAAAAACGAAGGCTCTGGTGACCTCTATCATCATCGCTAGCGGTTTTTCCCCCCTCCAGGAACTCAATTCACTGCCCATTGAGGTAATTTGGAACGTGGATAAAACTACTACGTGGTTGTCTTCGTTGTTCTTCCATAGCTGGACAAGGACAGATACAGATGTCACAGCAATGAAACTTGCAGCCCCCACTCCCTCACCAGACCATCGTAACTGCCGCCGGGATATTCTTCACCTCCACTTCTTAGCTTCTCCTTGCCCAAACCTACTAGTGCAAACCTCCCCCGACCTGCCCAGCCCAGCCACCGCAGGCCCTGCCTGCTTCTGCCACAGTGTTTGTCCTGCCGTTACCTGGGGGTATTTAATGTCTGCTTCCGCTGCCGATTTGTCAAGCGTGTTGACACCTTGCCCAGCAGCAGGGAAGGTGGTCCTGTTCACACCTGGCCAGTCTTCTAGTTTGGGAGGGTAGGCAGAGCCTTCTGTCCCTGCCAGAGCTCCTGGGATGGGAGAGATCGGGGAAAACGTTAGCAACCCGGAGAGACAAGCTCTTCCCTACAGCTTGGTTCAGGCAAGCCTCCCCAGAAACCACCTCCTCAGCGGTAATCTTGCCTCTTGACCAGCCTGTAAAAGGGAGGATCTGTCTCTGGACTTCAAGGGGACCCTGGGCCCTTCGGTCAAAGCAGACGGACGTGGCTTTCAAGGAAGGCAGGAAAATGAGGTCTGGTTGGCGGACAGTCTGTCCAGCCTGTAGCACAAGAAGAAAACAAACCCAAAATAACCATTTGCTTAACTGGAGACCTAAATGGGTCTTTGATTGGGATTCCACAAATCCCCTCCCCCATCTTTCTTTCTTTCTTTCTTTCTTTCTTTCTTTCTTTCTTTCTTTCTTTCTTTCTTTGGTACTAGTGCAAACCTAATGTAATTCTTCGATACTGATTTTTATTTCATCCTTGCTGCGGCGCAACAGCCTCGTAAAGGGGGCTCACAATAAACGCAATCCAGATTTATTTATGAAACACTCGTTCCCAGCATCTCCGCTCCAGACTTTGTTTGGGTGGGAAGCGCTTCAACAAGAAACTCCCCGGGTGGGGAGTTAAGCTTTCGGAAGACACTCGTGGGCCGCAGATGTTTTATGGCCTCCTGTATTTTATGGTCGCATCGGACCGACTCTACCCTTTCTATAAACTCTAGGCTGAAAAACAAAGGCGACTGCGCACGCAGGCACAGAGAGAGAAAGAGAGAGAGGCGGGGGTCTTAAATTGCAAACAGCTTTTGCTAAGGTTTCATTCGAAACATATCCCGTCTCCATGCCTGTTTCATTTTCACGGGCCAGGTTTTTTGGCTCCGTATCATATCGTTTAGAAGGCCCTTCTCAAGGGGGCGCCATTTTCAATTAAGGGAGGGGGCGTTCAATGTATAGTCCCAAGATTCAGTACTATCCAACTGGCTGCTCTTCCAGTTAATATTCTTGCAGGGAAAATGCATTTTGAAGGCATTTGGGACTCCTTGTTTTATAGCACATTATTACTAATATAGTCACTGGTCCTCTAAAGTAAATGAATATGTGTGCCTTTCGGAGTGAGTTTGGACACACGTGTGTGTGTGTGTGTGTGTGTGTGTGCGTGTGTGTGTGTGTGTGTAAGAGAGAGTGAGAGAGAGAGAGAGAGAGAGAGAGAGAGAAATAAGGGAGTGGGAAGCTCCCTCATTTTACTAATCAGTATATGTATTAGAAGGACGAATTTTTGAGTCGCCAAACAGAAGTTCTAGTCTAGAATTAGTCGGGTTTTGAAGGCAGGGAAGTAGAATGGTTTCTCTTTCAGAAGCTTGAGAAAATAACTACAAAAATGAAAACTAAGAAAATATAAGTCGCTTTCCTAAGTAGCCAAGCGTAGCAGATAACCAAAGTCTAAAAATATGTTTCCCTGTAATTTGCAGCGGCCTCCTTCTCGCAAGGAATCTTTCGGGTTTCCAGCTCTTCTATAACGATGTCCTTGCAGACTATCGGCGATAAGAGAAAGGAGGACGTGGCGGGAAGATCGGGGTCTTTTCAATCGGAAGGCGAGTGAATAGTTCAGGAGGTAGAAGGAGACGCCCTCCCAAATATTTGATTTTGGACGAAACCGTCGCGATACGAACTTGTTAGGGCCACTTTTTCGCCAAACAAGAAAAAGAAAAGCGAGGGAGGGGTGCTGTTAGGGGTTCGGAGTTTGCGGTTAGCAATCTATCATCGCTACGAAAATATTTTCCACATTTTTCCATAAGAAGTTCAAGATGTCCGGGGCCTTCTTTCCAACAAGAGCCGGAGTTCTGTCTGCCAAATTCTGGCCAGAGAGGTTGTGGCGGCGGCGGCGGCGGCGGCGGCAGCTCCCAAGATGCCTCTGGGTTCCCAGCACAGAGGCGCCGTGGCCGGGAGCGGGCGCAAGTGGTCGGAGGTGGGTGGGAGCCTGCGGTTCAAATCCGGGCTCGGCTAAGAAGCGCACTCGGAGGTTTGGGCAAATCGCTGCCCCTCAGAGGCGGTCAGCTTCTGGATGGCTAGTGGAGAGCCTTAAGTCCTTCAGGGGAGGGAGAAGTGCATTCTGTCACACAAGGGAGCGGCGTCCAGAAGGCCACGGAGAGAGATGCCTCCCATGTCAAAGCACCTGATTATTCCCCAAAAAAAGAGGATCCGGGAGCTCTGCACGCGGTATGGCCCTTTCGTACAAAACAGGTTTAGAGTGCATGACAAAGACGGAAATCCCTTTGATGGAAACAGATTTCTCTTGACAAGACTGCTACTAATATTACAAGTACGGACATGTAAACATAAAATGGCGGCTCTCTCGCAGGTGGAGTTCTTGAACACCTACGTTCAGAGCCATTTTTAGAAGAATTAACTGGAAAATGTACACGTAAGCGCGTGCACAGACATGAGGTAACATATGAAAGGGTTCGCCACCAACACAGGCCCACCCACCCCTCTTCTCCAGAGATGACAGGCTCTGTCACGAAATTCGTGGTAGGCTTCCACAGAGAACACTTGACATTTGGGCCTTTTCGAGGAATCCATATGCCCTCCACACAAAAATAAACAAGGGGATCTCTCTCCTCCCCGCCCCCATTTCATATNCAAGTTTGGCAAAGTTTAAGAGCCAGATAGAGTTTCACTTGATTTCCAAGACTTTCAGCTGTTCAGCCCAGGTCTAAATTGAGCGGTGGGATTGGGATTAAAAAGCACAGTGGGCAGCATTTTGTAGAGTAAAAGCAGGATTTTAGGGGGAAAAATAGTAGCAATAGAACTTTTATGGCTGAAGCTTGTGTATGTTCTTGCTCTGAGTGTCTTGTGATCTTTGTCACTGGTTTAATAATGTGTTTGCATTTGGCGTTGTTATGCATGCAAAATTAAAATACAAAAACAATGATAGTTTTAAAAAAACAAGCGGGGAAGTTTTTTTAAAATTTGGTTGTTTGGAAGTCGCCTTTCCCTCCCTATTTTTCTTTATACATTCCCTGAAGCTTATGAATACTATTTGTCCTCATATACTTTTCTTGCTCATCCATGCCTCCTTCTATTGTTTCTTCTAAGTCATATTTCAGATTGTAAAAAAGCCTGCGGGGCAGGACCTGTGTTTTAATTGTGATGGCCTGAAACACCATGCAGTAGCAATAGCAATAGCATAGTATTAAATAATAATTGTGTGCCTTCAAGTCCATTTTGCCTTACCGCGACCCTCTTTAAAGTTTTCCAGGTACGCACTGCTCAGCATTAGTTGACCATTCGTTCCCTTCTTCTGGGGGCGCTCGGGGACTGTGCAGCTTGCCTAAGGCCGCAGAGGTTGGGTCTCCTCCCTGGAGGCACCATCAAACTCCCAACCGCTGTCTCCGCAGCCCAGGTACCTAACTCATTGAGCCGTCCATACAGCTAATAGGAATAATGATAATACCTCTCCTCTCCCCCGCCGCCTCGCCCTCTGCTGAAAGGAGCCCACTCACCGCTTTGCTCCATGAAGGTGCGGATGCCCAAAATGTTGGTGACGGAGTGAGCTGAGGGCCAAGAGCGGGGAAGACTGACGTGGGCTGCCGAGACGGGCCCTCCCGGGTGGCTGCCTAGCTTGGTGCCCGTGGCAGACACAGCACTGGGGTAAGGGTACTGGTAGATGTGATTGTAGGGCAGCGTCGGCTGCGGGGCCGGTTGTTTGCAGCCGCTGCTGCCGCCGCTGCCGCCGTCGTAGGGTCCTCCAGGCTGCGACAGGTTGCCGATCTTGTTCCTCAGGATCCTGCTGATGGAGCTCACCGAAGGCACGTTGTATTTGTCGCAGACGCCGTCAGCCAGCAGTCGGTCCCGGATTTCCCACGCGAAGATCCCCGGGTCGCCCTGCTTGTAGTCTCGGATGTGCTTCACCACGTTGGGGGTGGTGACCCGAGGTTTGCTCCCACCGATGGCTCCGGGAAGGATGGAGCCCGTCTCGTTGTAGCGGGCTAAGATCTTACTCACGCAGCCGTGCGAGACCCGCAGCTGCCGGCTGATGTCGCAGGGCCGGATGCCCAGCTGAGCAAGCTCCACGATCCGCAGGCGGATGGCGTTGGGCAGGGGTCTCCCGTTGACGAACACGCCGCCCAGCTGGTTCACTTCGCCGTAGGTTTGCTCTGGAGGAGGAGAGGAAGCGAGAAAGAGGCCCACTGAGGTCTAGGCGATCAGGGCGAGAAAGGGAGGCAGGGCCCACGGGTGGAAGCCCCTGCCTTAACCCTTAATTAACAGACCCCGAGGCCCGTTTATGTCAAAAATCAGCCCCATGCAGTGTATGAGAACACAAGGGCGGCTTACAGAAGTTGAGGTACAATTAGTGGTATTCCCTGCCACAAGATACAAACGACAGCTAACCGCAAAGAGGGGCAAGCGGAAAGGTTTGATACAGCAGCTGTCTCAAATGGCAGCAAAACCGAGACAACGAAATAGAACCTCCAGCTCCAGAGGCTCTTTAGCACAGAAGGGAAGCTCTACCGAACGCTGGGGGGAAAGCACTTTTTCTAGAGGTGTCGGTCCCCGAGCCGGAAACCGCATGCTGGGTTCCCTGGAGGGGTGTCCAGCCTTACTGGGAGCAGCCCTTCTTAGGTTTCTAAGCCTGCCGCAGGCGGAGGAAACCCTCGCACGCTGCCCGGCCCCACTTTTCGCCGCGGGACCTCGCCTCTCCGCGGGCAGGAAAGGGCTCGGAGAAAGACCCCCCACCCCTTCCACAGCAGAAGGGATGCCGCAGAAGACCGCGCTGGTCAGCCGGGCCAGGGTGGATGCGTCGCGGCTCCCCCCTGGCTAGAAGCGGCCTAGGGAGCTCGCCGCAGCGTTGGCAGAGCCCAGCCCGTTTCTGGTTTCCGGAGCTCCTGCTTCCCTCTCCCAAGAAACAGCGGAGCACCATCTTTCGAAAGCCGCCTTCCGTTCCCTTCTGCCCGCCGCCCTCATGCCGATTGCCTCCTTCTTACCCATAGTCAGCTAGGAAAGGCGCCCGCCGCACCCGCTAGGAAGCGGGCGCATAGAGGAAAGAAGACCCGGACTCTCTCCGGAAACGACCTGGGGAGCTGCTGCGCCGGTTCGATCTTGAGTCCTGGGGCTCCGGACTGAATCCGAGGAGGCGCGCCCCGCATCCAACTGGGGGAAGGGGCCGCTCAACCCACCGCTTGAGCTCCGGGGCCACCGGACGCCTCTCTGCCCCACGTCGACCTACAGGCTCTCGGTGGAGGTGCCGGCAGGGCTTTGGCCGTTCATTGGCTCCTGCCGGGGGGTTCCTGGCACGGCCAGCGCTGGCCAGGGAAGCACAGATGAGGTGTAGCAGCGGGCAGGACTTGACTGGTTCCGCCCCGGCTGTCTCTTTCTCTCTCCGCCCTCTGGCTCAGCAGAGCTCGACTAGATCCCAACGCCGCCGCACCCCCCCACCCCACCCCGCTTGCTTGAAGCCGCTTGGCCAAAGCCCCAGCCCCTCCTCTCCTTCCCTCCCTCTCTGCTGCTGCTGCCCGCCGCGGGAGGAGGGGGGGGATGAAGGAAGGCGGGGCAGCTCCTCACCGTTCGAGCCACCACACACTTTCCCCAACACGGTGATCGCTGATGTATTTATTCCCATTTCTGAAAAAGGGTCCCGATCACTGGGCGTCTGGTAGCCTGTGTGGTTATCAGGCGGGGTGGATCAGATGCCCTTTGTGGATGTGTCCGGTTAAGGAGCCACGTCTCCTCAAAGACACAGCTTATCTCCTAGCCACCTCTACATACAAGCAAAGCACACAGACTTTCACGAGATTTTACCCCCTCGAACGCTGCAATTCTGTGCCAGCCTGCTCAGCGATAAGCCGCGTTGCCGGACTTTCCTCCCAGGGAACACGAACAGACGCGGTTCAGAGGCCCCGTCTGTTCGCTGCGAATAAGCAGGCGCGGGACACGGCTCCCGGCTGGCGCAGAATGAAGCGGCCCTCCCCGCCTGATGTTTTGCCTTGTTGGCCTGCAAGGAATTCCGCACAGCTTTCATTGGGACCTAACGCAGGTAATCTGCAGCAAGAGCTGTTGGACGGCCTCGTCATTGGGAAGGAATTCTCCAGGGCGTTTAGGAAACATTTTATTGAGAGTGACGCTCTACCGAGAATGGAGGGGGACAATTCACTAACAAGCATCACCCTTGATTTCCCTAGACCTGGGACCTAGTGGAGTGGAGAGAAGAGATGCCTTCTAAAATTCCTTTGAAATAATATCAGATCTGCTTCCCGAAAATTAACCTGCCCTTGGCGTCGCCCGCGGCAATTTTTTTAAGGGTCGGGGACATAAACATACAAGGATGGCACTCCTGCCTATGCTTTTTGTTAAAATGTCAGACTGTTAAGGAAATTAGTCCCCATAGCGTTGAACGGGACCTACTTCTGAATGAGTGCAGTTTGGTCTCAGCTTTTAAAAGATAGGTGCTTGGAAGGCTACCGTCCATTAACTGGGAAGTTTTCAGCGGAGAAGCTGTTCAGAAACGACAGAGGAAAGCAGGTTTCTAGAAATTCTGTCCTCAGATTTATTCAAGATTTGTAAAGTGAGGGCGTCGGTGGTGGCGGTTATTGAAGGAAATACATCGGACCCAATTCCTCAAATCTGCGCAGTGCCATCCTAGCGATATTGCTAATAGATACCAATTATTTAAAAGCAAATTATTTCCAAGGAATTGTCTTTAGCACCGGGGTAGAAAAGGCTTTTAAAAAATATATCGTTTAGGATTGTTTATCTCCCTCGATGAATTTTGTTGTTACATTTGTGAAAGACATAAAGATTACTTCTTTTCCATTATGCGCTACCAATGTGGCTTTAACATGGCAGTTCTGTCTGGCCGCCTGCTTTTTGCTTCCTCCATACCTTGAGAATCTGTTTCTTAAACGCATTTCAAGCCTCTCTTATATTTTAAATTTGCTGCTACCTCTTGACCAGTGGTCAATTTAAAATTTCATTAGGTAATTTGGCAGCGTGATTTCTTTTTATTTGCCAGGTGGTCTTCATTTGCTGTCCAAATCTGCCCCAGTCAGGATCCTGTCCCCGTCGCTAGCCTAAGGAATTAAACACCTTGCAGAAAAGAAACACAAGGGGAGCCGCGAACCGCTTGACAAGCGTCCCTTGATGGCGATCGTTTGTTTGGTTTGATGGTGTGTAAATGTTTATGTAGGCTGGCTCTGCCTAACCTCTTCCCTCCTTGATCACCAGCAGCTAGAGCAAGCCACATTCAAAGTCCCATTGACTTCAATGGGAGACATTAAACTTCTCGCGTTGAAATCAATGGGGGCACACCGTGCTTAACTAATTTGGGAGAGCAGGTCCTCAAGAACTGACTTTGTAAACAAAACTAAATGATCTGGAAGTCAACATCGAGTTAAGCAGGGAAATCAGACATCGAAGCTATTGTTCTAGTTAAGTGAAACTCCCTGTTCTGAAGAAGAACGCACGTAGGCTAATTGTCTCTGGAAGCGATCCATCCAAAATTAAAGCCTCCATGGCTAAAATCCAGTAAGTCGCAGCTAGAAAAAGCCCATTGAATCAATGGAGCTTACATAAATTTAGTTGTCAAGTCCTCATTGATTCAATGGGCCTGCTCTAGTTGGGACTTACTCCTGGATTTCAGCCTTTGATTTTAATGGCACAGAATTAAGCAAATATTAAGCAAACAGTATCTTACACTTACGTCCAACGGGAACGTAATGTTAAGTGATAAACAGTGGTTTCAGTTTCAACTGAACGGTCTCAATAACCTCTATTTCAGAAGGTAGTATTGTGAAAGATTTACTTGGCACTTGATTTCGGCTAAGGGTTCCAGATTACTTCTTGGTTGTTATTTTTCCAGCTGTAATTAGAAGTCAAAGGTGCGAAAATGTCCAATGTCCGTGCATTTATTTATACATTCATTCGTTTATAAACTGTCTTTCTACCCTACAACGGATTCGGGCGTAGTTCACAAACTACACCCGTGTAGATGCAGTGTACAGTAAATTTAAAAGAGACTGCCACGTTGGAGGCTAGAAACGCAATAACAACCACCAGAAAGTAGTTATCTAAACTCCAGAATATAGAACCTCAAAATGACAGTCGGTCTGGAACTAACAGCAGGTCCTATCGGTGTGTGCTTGGTGGGAAGCTCCCATGGGCTACATCCAGTTATTATTCCCAGTTACAGTAGATTCTCTGAATAATCGAACTTGTTAAAGGCTTATGTAAGCCCCATGAGTAAATAGGACTATTCTAGTTGGAGTGAACAGTTGGGTTCCGCTTGCTCTTCTCAGCGCAGTTTACTCCGATTAGTGCACATTGGATTGTAATTTAAGGACTGCAGCCCGATGCCTAATAGCCTAGGAGTAAACTCCATTAAGCACACCAAGAATCTCTTCGAAGGGAACAGAGGTAGGCTTGGGACCTGATGCACCTGCGCAGAAGACTTCTAGCTATCGACGGAGAGTTAATGGGCCCCTTTTTCCTTGCCTAGGGGAATCCTCCTGCGCCAACGATCGCCCATGGGAACTGCTGCCTGTAGGGCATTGCCGGTAGACTTCTGTGACGGGCCAAAAGGCTCATCAAATGTTCACATGCCTGACGTTGCTTAATGGACGCCGGGTTTTTTTTCATCCCACAAAGGTCCCCAGATGGAAAACATCAGGACGGGGCGGACCATAGCCTTTCCCTGACCCTGACCTTTTACCTTGACGGCGGGTCCGAAAAAGCATCGTTAGCTAGCAAGCAACATATATTTATATGTCAATTAGTAGGAAAAAGAGCAATAAATTACAAGGTAAAAATATGGTCAGCACGCGACCTGAGCTGTAAGATATATTGGGTAAGGCACGTTCACGGAGGAGAAAAAGCGGAGAGTATTGTCGATTGAAGATATTGCCCGGTGACTTGGAGGAGACGTAAAGGGCACGATCCGCTAAGGAGTTCTTCAGAGGGAGGGAGGGAGAAAGTAGAACTGAGGCTTTTCTCCATTTCAGGGCCTCCCGAAAGCTCCGGCTCCCTGAGATTTTGAGACAGTCCGGGGATTAGGACAGCCAATTGTGATGCAGTGGAGGATTCAGGAAACCCACATCCCTGCCGCGCCCTAAAGCGCTGGGCGATCTCCTGCTAGCCTAACCTGTAGCGATCCGGCACTGGAGGCACAAGGGGAATCCTCCTGTATCTAGGCCCATGCGCTCTCTGGGAGACGCAAATGTTGTCGTAGTGACTTGTGCCCCTAAGAGGGAGCAGGCTTTAGGGCATCGCGCAGAAGGCTGTCCAAGAGACCGAGTCCTGGGAGGGATTCGGGCTTATTTCCCCCACACACGTGGTCTGGAACTAGAGAAAACCACTGTTTTGAGAACTCTGCCCATCATTTTAAGATCATTTCGCTTTGGGAGCTTACGCCTAAAGCACGTCAGATTGGGTTCCAAGTCCGAGCTGGACCGTAAATTAAGCTGCAGTCGACTGAAGTATTTCAGATTCTCTTTAGTTAGTCCGTTTCGCGGTTGCCTAAAAGCGTTGCGAAGTCAGAAGAAGACTACTGCGACCACAGTCCTGTGAGCACTTGCTTTCGAGCAGGCTCTGTCAAGGGCATGTTGTCATACCAAGCGGTGGGAAGACAGCCACGCTGAGGTTCTGTGTCCACTCTTGAATCGCATTCAGAGTTTAGGGAATAATTACTCATCTGCATTACAATGCCTAGAATCCCCTGATTGAGGAATTCTGGAAGTCGCGGTCCGAAAAGGCAACAGTTTCATGTTCCCCCATTTAATCGACATTACATTTCTGCCAAGCTCCCAATGCCCTCTGTTATTTAAAAGCCTTTATTGCGGTTATTTCTTTATACGTGGTAGATCACTGCAAAGCAACACTCTCAAGTGTTGTGAACCATAAGAGAGGAAAACTTTTTCCCGATTGTTTCCGATTAAATTACCATAGGATGAATGCCTTAATCAGTGGCAGCTGTAAATTAGCTAATCTTCCGTTAATCA